TGTACCTCGGTTGGTTTGGTCCCGTTGTTCGGGCTATCTTATGGGCGTGGATGTGCTTTCATGTGGGACCAGCCATTCGGGTTTTTGGCATCCTGGTTGGTTGTTTCCCGTTGTTCGGCCCTTTGAGAGGCGGGGCGGTGCCTGTATGTGGGAATCGTCATCCAGGATTGTCTTCTCTTTTTTTCTTGGTTGTCACACTGTGGATCGTCGCTTTTTTATGTCTTGTCCTGGGTGGTCTTGTCCCATTGTTTGGCCTTTGACGGAGCGGGCGGTGCTTGCATGTGGGACTTGTCATCTGGGATCTGTCTTGTTTCCCTCTGTTCCATTTGTTTCATTTGGCTTTTCCCTTCCTCTCTTCTTTGCCTCTTTGCCTTTTGGCTGTGTGCAAGTGGGTCGATATGACACACGGGGGTGGGGGCAGCCGCCGCTCAACCTAGATCCACGTGGGCGGCCTTGTACGCAAGAGGTTCTGAACAGGGGGAGTTGTAAGGAAGAAGATTAAAAACGAATTTAAGATTTTTTTGATTTTTTGGTTTTTTCGCTTAGGCGCTCTGATATCATGTGACAATATATATTTAGATGATGCGGCGAGCGTCGGGCCTGTACTAGCAGGCTTTTTCTTTGGTCATTGTTGGGGTGTTTCGTTGGGATTTCGTTTTGTGGACCTACTGTATGGTTCCGTTTTTTTAATATGGTTATGGCAGAATTTGTTTTGGTATTTTTGGCACCTTTGTCTGCATCCCGCTTGGTTTCGTCCCTGTGTTCGGCTTACGGTAGGTGCTGCCACGTGGCCGTGATCTCATGTGGGACCTGACCTGTCATCCGGTGGGGTTTTATCCTTTTGGCATCCTAGTTGGCTGTTTCCCCCCGTTGTTCGGCCTGTGTAAGGTGGCGGTGCTTTTCTGTGGGAATCGTCGCCTGGGATTGTCTTTTTTGTTTTTTTTTGCCGTTGGTGGCGTCCCAGTATATTTTAGTTTGGAACAACGAGGCAGTAGAAAGATGAAAACGGTACCGACTAAAATGAAAACGGTTTTGCAACAAATAACAATCGCAAAGGAGTCTTGCAGTTGCCGCAGAGTAGCTGGTGAGTAGTAGAGTATGAAAAAGGTTTGTTATCTGGGACGGATTGTTTGTTTGCAGGCAAGAAGGGTGTTGATTGATATCCTGGTTGGTCTTTTGCTTGGCCCGTTGTGTGGCCTGTGACGGAGGGGGAGGTGCTTGAATGTGGGACTTGTCATCTAGGATTTGTTTATGTTTGTTTCCACCTGTTTTGTTATATTTGGCTGTTCCCTTGCTCTTTTTTTGCCTCTTTGCCTTTTGGCTGTGTACATGTGGGGGAAAGCAAAAAGAACTGCCGCAGGGCAGGTTCCGGATCGGCCGGATGGTAGGTTCTGCATTTGGATCGCCGCATTTGGATCGCCGGAGGGCAGGTTCCGGATCGGCGGAGGGTAGGTTCCTCATCGGCCGAAGGTAGGTTCCGTATCAGCAAAGAAGAAGAAGAAGAAGAGGAAGAAGAAGAAGAAGAAGAAGAAAAAGCTGAAGTAGAAGAAGAAGAAAAAGAAGTAGAAGACGAAGAACATATAGAAGAAGAAGAGAGGCGGCGGTGGTGGCGGGGTGGTGGGCTAACTCACCATTAGAAGCCATCTCCGTGTCGTCCGCTTGCCAAGTGTCGCCTGACCCACTTGCCAAGTGTCCCCCGATCCACTTGCGACGTGGCGCACGCTCCCGTTGCCACACGTCTTGTCAATCCGCTTGGCAGTTTTGCGGCGGTGTCCGCTTGCCACATCTCTCTCTCTCTCTCGTGGCTATGGTCCGTCTGTCTCTCCCTCTCTCTCTCTTTCTCTCCTGCGTGGCTATGGTCTCTCTCTCTCTCTCATCGCGTGCTATGTATGTATCTCTCTCTCTCTCTCTTTGCGTGACTACATTGTCTTTCTTTCTCTCTCTTATCGCCCGCTGATCCCTCTTGCATGGGACAGTATATATGGTGGACAGAGGCGGCGGGGAGGGATAAGTGAATAGGGAGAGAGAGAGAGAGAGAGGGAAAAAGGTGGACAAAACGCCGAAGGTCCATGAAGGCCAGCCGGGGGGGGGGGGGAAGAGGCGGGAAGACAACCAGAGAGACAAAGAGACACAGACAGACGGACAGACAATGGGGGCAAGAGAGAGAGAGAAAGAGAGAGTAAACTTACCTCTCCACGCACGAAGAGTTGTAGTTTTTTTTCAAGATCCTTTTTTATTTTTCCCACATATCTCCGCAGGACGCACGCTTGTGAGCGTGCGTCCTGCGGACATGGCGCGCGTATGTCGAAACAAAAAAAAAAGAGCTGAACATTGGCCTCTCTCTCTCCCTTACCCACACACCCACACTCCCACAACCCTTCGCCACACTTCACGTGCGTCCTTCTGGATGAACATGTGTGTCCGTGTGTGCATGAGAGAGAGAGAGAGAGAGAGAGAGAGAGAGAGAGAGAGAGAGAGGTCACACGCATTGAGTCGTTGTAGCTGTGCGGTGTTTTTTTTTTTTTTTTTTCAAAATCCTCTTTTTTTTTTGTTTCGACATATGTGCGCCATCTCCGCAGGACGCACACTTGTCTTGGTTCGTGCCATTGAGTCGTTCGTGCTTCTGGATTCATTTTAAAAAAATGAAAAAATAAAATTGTGATTCATTTAAAAAAGAAAGAAAAGAAAAGAAAAAGAATGGCAATTCCAGATGACATTGAGTTGTGAACGGAATGATTTCTTAGCATCCAGGAACTTCCAGTTGCTACCGTCTTTCAACCCGAATAGAATGCACCGCGGCACCGGCATTGTAGCTGTATTTGGTGCAACTTGCCGTCTAGGTACTCGCGATAATGACCACGAGTTCTATTGGGCTGTAGATGGATAATGGTGGGAGTCTAGAAGTTCGCTCCCCTATCTTCCCATCGTTGTACTGGGGGATATTCACACTGAGGAGTGTTCTATTGATCTCTGGACGTCATTGCTGTCAGATACATTCAGGTCCATCCGGAATTGCGGTCAGATACATATGAAAGAGTGCTTGTGTGAGTACGCCCTTTGTCGTCCTTTACATTCTCCCTCTCTCTCCACTTTACGTTCTCCCTCTCTCTCCACTTGTGGAGGGTGAGAGTGGTTTGAGTACTTCCCCTCCGCCCCCTCCGCGCGCCCTCCGAATGCAGCACACCCCTTTACCCAGGGATCCAGGGGAGCTATTTGTATTGTCATGGATGTATGTAGACAAGCTGTATGTCCAGGAGATCTATCTGTCTCATCATGGATGTAGACAAGCTATATGTCCGGGCTCGATACAGGCGTGCATGATGAGGGTGAGTTGTTAGGGGGAATATGGTACCTTCACGTGCGAGCGCACAGAAATCACAGTGCGTTTATCTTTGTCTTTTTTTTTTTTTTCATGTAATTTTTATCAAGTTAATTCAACTTATTGCAGATTAGGGGAGAGTTTTCCCCCATGACGAACTGACTAAGCTGTGCCTTCTCTCTCTCTCTCTCTCTCTCTCTCTTCCCAGTCTTTAATCAAACAAGTGGAAATGGAACAGGCAAAGCAAGAAGGAAAGGGAGAAAAACAGAAAATAGAACTGGTTTGACTCTCGACTTCTGTACCCAGTGTTTTCGTCGAGTTGTGTTGCGTTGTTTTCTTCGCAATGCTCGTTCGGTCTACAGTCTGTGTATTGGTGTGCATACACATACATACATGTGTACTAGACTGCTTTGGTTTTCGTCACAGGTACCTTGAGGGCAGTGGTTGGTGGTCCCCACCACCTCAGGGTATCAGTTGTCGGGCAGTCGTTGGAACTCCGACTAAACAGTGTAAGCAGGTAGGGGATTCTGCAGACTGTTGAGGGCTCAGCCTTTTGATCAGTTGGTGGAACTCCGACTAATCAGTTTGTCACAGTCCCTCGTTTGTTGTCCTCTTCTCCATCCCTCTCTGCCCCTGCGATTTACCGGTCAGCTCTCTCTCTCTCTCTCTCTCTCTCTCTCTCTCTGTGTCTGTGTTATCGTCAAACAGATCTATATCGTCAAACACAGCTGCCCAGTAAAACGTACTAGGCACAGAGGGAGGGGATGGAGAAGAGGACACCAAACGAGGGAGGGTTGTGACGGACTGTTTCATCGGAGTTCCACCTATCGACTCATACAACAACACACACTCAATCTCATTACAAAGCAGCGCTCGAGGCCAGAGGCCGTGGACCCCGCGATTCCACTCTGGAGTTTCCCGGCACCATCACCCGGTTTATAGCTTTCCTTCGTTCCTTGTTTGTTGTCTTTTTTCGCATTTGCCCTCCGATACACGATGTAACGATGGATATGCCCGGTGAACCGTAGGCACAGAGGGAGACCAGGACAACAAACGAGGGGCTGTGACAAACTCTTTCGTAGGAGTTTCACCAACTCATCATATATAAATATATATATTGTGACAATTGGATTATCTTTCTTTCCCTATCTTTCTTTCCCTGTCAGGTTTGGTTTCCTCCTCCCCTTCTTTACCTCTTTGCCTTTTGGCTGCGTGCAAGTGGGTCCTTGTGACACACGGGGATGGGGGCAGCCAGCGCTCAACCTGTCATCCACGTGGCTGGCCTTGTACGTAAGAGGTTATGAACAGGTGGAGCTTTCCTTACCTCCTTCCCTTTCCCTTTTTTCCTTTTCCTTTTTTCTTTTCCCTTTTTTGCGCTCTGATTCACAATGTGACAATATATATATTTTGTGAAAATATGTTGTTAAAATGAATTATAAATTTCTGAACGGAAAACAGAAAAAGAGTGGAAAACGTGTGCACGGGCACGTTAAAGGTGACCCGTCCCTTTTTTTTGTTTAAGTAAATGGATAACCAGTCCATTGATCAGAACGCTCGTGTGCAATATTTTAATAGCAAAACATCTTGTCAAGTCTCTTAGTTTTTACTGACGTTCTCGTCTGTTCCCTTCCCTGCGACTTTTTTGTCTTTTTTGTCTTTTGTATTTTTGTTTCCTTTTCAGGCGCAAGCTAAACCAGCCACGGTCAAAACAGGTACGAAAGGGTGCTGAATTTCTCCATCCCATTCCCCCCGCCCCCCAACCCCAAATTTCTTCGTCATGTATTGCAAAACAAGAAATGAGCCCTCACAGTCTACCTGGAGACAGTATTGTGAGCATGACCCAGCTTCGCTTACCCAGGACAACCCGAACAGACCCTTCTTCAACTGACGGCCCCGTCAACTCCATTTCCGATTCCCTCCTTTTGCGCTTTTGCGGCTTGATTCACAATTTTCAGATTCCCTCCTTTTGCGTTTTTGCTGCTTGATTCACAATTTTCCTAATCTTTGAAATCCGGACTTGATTGTCAGCAAAATGGCGGGAAAACGGTTGATATGTTTGTCTTTCTGACATTCGGAGAGGAGTGGGGCGTTGAGTTATAATTACCGGAATTAATATGATGAGGGCCCGATTCTAAATGTATCTGGCACCGGTAATCGTCCGGATACACACATTGAAAACAGGGTTGAAATTTATATGGAACAGATAATGGTCCTGATACATACATTAAAAACGTTGGATCAATTTCAATGGGCGTGTAAGTTATAATTACCGGCATTATACCTTTCTCGGCCTTTTGGCTAAGATCAAGTGTAGTATCTGTTCTGATCAGTTTGATATCTGATCCGTGGTCCATCGGACCACATTAAAAAAAAAAATAATAAAAAAAAAAATACCGGCATTAATATGAATTAAGGCCCCGAATTCAGTAGGCAAGATTCGAAAAGATCTTGAACTGGTTATGGTCCCGATTCATAAAACGTTGGACTAATTTGAAAGGATTAATTTGAAAGTACCTGGTTCCATCCACAGTCCAGATACATGTAAAATCTTGAGGAGTGCTGGACGTGGAGAGTTACGCGGGTATAATCTTACCGGGCTAGTCTCGTCCTGTTTTTTTTTTTTTTTTTTTTTCAGTTTCGTGTATTTGACTGGAAACGGTTTATTTGTCTATCGCCCCGGTAACGACTAGATTCATCACCAACTGCTATACGAGGTCTGTTACGGACTTCGCCAGGGCTCGATCCCTGGTCTATCTTTTTGCTGTTTCGGTTGCATCCCGTTTTTGGCCTGGCACCCTTTTTCCAAACCCCGCCTTTGGTACCATAGGATTTTGGACAAATGGCGCCATGCTGCAATTCAGGCGCCACTTTCAAATACTGCATTTTTCAGTTCTACCCTCAGGGCCTTTGCAGAAATGCCCCTGGTACCGTACGTGCCACCGGTACTTATACCGGCTCCCCGTACGGTACGGGGACCAGTCTCGTACCAGTTCTCTGCTGCTGTACTCGTACTCAGTGTGACTTACTGTTTCGGCATTCGGAATCCAAGACTTCGACTTTGTGCCTTGCCACTGTGTCTGCGTCCGATCCTCAGTCCGAGGTTGTCGAGTGAGTGAGTGTGTGTGTGCTCTCACTCTCTCCCTCTCTCTCCTCTCCCTCGGCTCACCCTCAGCCTCACGCTCGTCACAAGGTCGGTCTGATTTGTCCCTCTCGTTCCTCTTTAATGAATGCGGTATTTTCACAGTAAGTAGTAAGTAGTATACTTAATTTCCACCCCCGATCGAATCTCCTTCATGGATGATGGCGCTAATCACGTGAGTGACGGCATATGTTTTTTTTTTTTTAATGGCAATGTGCAATGGTGAAATTGAAAATTGTGTTTCTCATACCCTTGTTTTTGTCTGGAGTGTCATTTTTGTTTCCATCATGCTCTTCTTTTGGTCGTGATTTTGAATGTTTGTCTTATATTAAGTTATATGTTGTTTTCCTTTGATAATTGTGACTTTTTGTCTGCCTGCAGCCCTCAACCCTAGCGCATTTGTATCTTTCAAGCTACAGGAAGTTGTGACGTTGAACCACAACACGAAATTGTTCAGGTAGGCACATGGAAGCACCCTACTTCGTTCTCTTCTGCAGCTAATTTCGTCCCCGCTTCCCCTCCTACCTACCGTGCCTAACCCCCCCCCCCCCCCCCCCCCCCAACACCTCCCTCCTCCTCTGCCTCCTCCCCACTTCCCACCCATATTGATTATATATTGGGCTACAAAACTTGAGCAAAGACATCAGGGATGAAAACAGTGCTCCCGGGCCTCGCTGCACCACTCGCTAAATGTGAAAACGATATCAGCTATGGCTCTAATGGAAGTGTGAAAAATATATCAGCTATGGCTCTACTGGAAGTGTGAAAAATATATCAGCTATGGAAGTGTGAAAAAGTTATCAGCTACGGCAGGTGTATATAATTTAAGATCTTTATACCTTTCTCGGCCTTTTGGCTAAGATCAAGTGTAGTATCTGTTCTGATAAGTTAAAAAAAAGTGAAAAAAGAAAAATGTGAGGAACGAGCCCTCAAAGTAGGGGCCTTGCCATGATGTACATGTACTGGGCTAAGGCCCCAGCAAGCCTCGTGCCCGCCCTAAGTGAAGATGGGCCAGCAAATCAACAAGAGCCCTCAGTGTAGACATTTCACGAAGTGGGGTCCATACAGTTGCAGCATGCCAGTTGGTTGGAGTGCACGAGTCTCGAATCTCTGCAAATGCGGAGACCCCAGGGCCTCTGAGTTAGTTAGGCCCTGGGCATCTGAATGTGAGGCCGACAATGCATGCTGGGTAGAGAGGCCGAAAATGCCAAAGGAAAATCGGCCCACTGTCTGAASYTGKCCGCAGGCCTTGATGAAAGAGGCGCAACTGCATTGCCCCGGGCCTCAACTGTATCGGGCTGGTTTCAGCCACTGAGGCCCAGACGCAGGCTGAAGGGAGGCCGCCCACACGCAGCACTGGCATATAGGCAAGCAGGGCGAGTGGGCAGGCATCTTGGCCAATGCAGGCATTGCGGGCACAGTCGTGAGTGCATGTGTGCTGCGCTGTGCAGAGCTGCGCTGCGCTAGGGTCAAGCAGGCAAGGGCTAGGCGGTAGGGCGCTGCCTACACTCAGGGCACTGGCGGCCATAGACTGGGCCGTGTGAGGGTGCAGAAGAGGTGAAGGGCGAAGGTGGTCTTCGGAGGTGAAGGGCGCTGTGTGGGTAACAAGGGAGAGTGTGGGGAAGAGGACACGTACCTGGTGGAGGTGGAAGTCGGCATTGGTGTTGACATCATCACTCGCTGGTAGTCTGGTTGCTTTTCATTGCTGTAGTTGTAGGATAGGCTGTAGAGTAGAGAGGGCGCCTGGCGACATTCACAAGAGAGAGCTACATTTGGGTTATGCTGTTGGTGTTGCCCTGTAGGGCATGAACATTGACTCACGATTCTTCTGTATCATTCTCAATTGGATGGTTACTCGGTTCCATGTGCTATCTGCTTTGGCTTTGACTACTTGGACTTCAGTGTGATTTTGCATTCTGGATTTCTGTGCTTCGTCCATATTCATGTTCCTTGCAATTTGGTATTGGAGCTGGTTTGATCGCCACTTACCTTTGGCACGCCGGCGTTATACAGACTTGGTGCGTTGATGATGCTTCCTCGCAGTGGGTACTTGTGACGTGAGGCCACTATAGGCGCACGCCCTGGGTAGAGAGGGGTGCGCTGGAAGGCTACAGACGGCATTATAAGCCGTGTTGACAGGCGGAATGTATGATTGGTGATGAGAGCATGCTGATGTGGCATTGGACTAAGGTGGCACTGCATTGCGTTGTGGGTGGTACCGAGGTCATGACTGGTCATCAAATGCAACATCAGCTCAATTGGTGAGAAAATCTGTGGTTGGGGGCAGCTATCTCCAGGTATGTTGATCCCTTACCTTGTCTTTTTCTCACTCTCTTCTTACCGTAAGTAAGCGAGTCCAACTTGAGAGTCCTCTCCTTGGTGAGGTGTCGTGAGCGCGCTACCTTGAGAGACGACAATCTTCCCGGAAGCAATCTGGAAGGAGAAAGGGCGGTGCCTCTGAAGGGCCCTGGTCGAAGCACTTGGGTCACTGTCACCATGCCAACCCACAGGGAGTAGTGCACGCATGCGATGGCTGCTGTCCTGTCAGGCACTTGCTGCGCTCAGTAGAAGTCTTGCCGGGTGTGTCTATAAACATTTCTGGTTGGGAGTTCGTTGTGAATCTGGCTGTGATTGTCGTCCTGACTGCGACGATAAAGCATTCCTGAAGAGATGGGGGCGCTCATAAATTCCTCCTGATCAGCCAGATCACATGGACAGTAAGGCTCGTTTCTGTACGAGGGTAAATAAGAGTGGACTGGTTGGCTTGCTCGGCTTTGACTTGGGCACAGGGGTGGGCCGATACACACACAAATACACTGCTCTGCCCAATGATGCTGTTCGGATGGTTGGATTGAGGGGAAGGGTAGCATACAACAGTCCTCACAGACAGATTAGTGTCGGACTGTTGTATGCTACCATAGCCAGTTCTAACTAGTGCTGCTGTAAGTGAACCAATCAGGGTGATTCTAGACTATGTAGACAATCTGTGTGAATGCTGTAGACATGCCACTTGATTCGGTATAGTAGGGAACTCGCCGGACACAACTATTAATAGAAAATTACGTGCCGGTCAGATACATCCTGCGGTAGGATTCCACTAGGGGATTCTAGTGCAGATACTATCTGCCTAACTAATGAGTGGGTCAGACCCTGTTGATGATAGAGCTGACGCTAGGAGACTAACACGTGCACAGGCACTAAGGGTACCGCACGTGTTCCAGGCCTTGGAGCCGGGAGAAGAAAGACGGCTACGTAGAGCCCGTGCGCTAGCAGCAGGGATAGCAGAAGCAAATAAAGCAGCAAGAGAGCAGGCAACAGCAGCCAGAGCAGCTGCGATGGCTAACGGCGCAAGCTCTGCTGCGTCATTGTCTGCGTCTTCATCAGGGACTAATGGGAGCCCGTTGGGAATGCCAACGAGTTCCACAAGTTCCTCGCGCACTTCCGGTTCCACAGGTTCTAGACAGTCTTCTAGTCAAATGGCAGGCTCGCAGTTTAGCCCCATGACCGCATGAGAGCGGGAGCTCAGAGAGATCCAACAGGTCGAGAGGCTCCGCCAGCAGTCAGAGTTGGATCTGAAGAAAGCAACCGATAGAGAAAGAGAGATAAAAAGTAGAGCGGCCAGGCTTGATACGTTAGAGGCTGACAAGGCTGCGTTAGAGGGATTGGACGAAACGGGTTTGTCTGACCCTCTGAAAGTGTTGAAGAACAACGTGTTGTCACTGCATGCGCACGTGGACAGCAGGTTGGACTTCATGCAGAGCTTTTTGGACCAGATCCTGGATGCATTGACAAGTCCAGGATTCCGGCCACCAGCACAATCGCCATTGCCGTTAACGGCGATGTCCGACCCCTTTCCCGTACAAGTTGGCACCCAGCCAAGTGGTACGTCCGCAGCAGTCTCACAGACTGTTGCATCTTCTTCTTCGGGTCCAGCGGTGATTGCTACATCACCACAACAACCTGTTCAGCAAACTGGACAGCCGCAAGGTCAATGGTATCCCAAGACCCCAATGAAACCCCCTCTTGCCTTCTCAGGGGAGAGAAAGGACGAGGAACTCAACACATGGTTGAGGACGGTCCCTGTTTAGGTGAAGGCCAAGAGGACCTTGCCAGAGGATGAAGTGGTAACTGCGGCATCTTACCTAGAGGGTAAGGCAGCCAAATGGCTAGATGGGGTAGTTGTGAAAGCCGGGTACGGGCGACGCATGGCGGGCTGATCCTCGTCCCGGGCATCAACTACAGTGACCAGTTCCTGTTAACAACTTTCGTTATCTTCCAGAGAACATTAGGAACTTGCTGGCTAGTGAGGCACGCACCGAGTACCACTCGTTTGAGACATTGTCTAGGAAAGCCTTAGACTTGGAGGCCACGCTAGGCAATGCTCAACCAACCTCTCAGACTGACACGAGGAAGAAGAAGAGTCCCCAGGAGTGGAAGAAGAAGGGGGCAAAGTTGATGATGGTGGAGTCTGATGGGACTCAAACTGAGATCGGCGAGCTCTCTGACCTGGTGGACTTTAGAGTATGATGGCGAGGAGGTAGCTGAGGGTAGCACCCTCGCCGCGGTAGTGAAGATTAAGGCAGGTGGCCGAGGGAAGGGCCAACCTTGGAGTCAAGGGAAGGCCGCCTCCAATCAGACCAAACAGGCTGAGTGGGTTAAGGTAGGTCGTGATCAAGACATGTGGTGTGATTGCCGAGTGCGTGGCGCTTGCATCAATTGCGGGGAGTACGGAGTGCCAGAACGCTAAGGTCACGCAAAAGATTGCTCCAAAGATGGGGGCATCTTATTCCCAAGCTTCTAGCTCGGGAAACGCGTAGGGCCAGTGGAAGTAGCAGGCTTCTACTCAAGATGAAGTGGGAATGATACCCTCCTCACTTCATGACAAGGCCGAAGCTAATGACTCCTTAGTCACCCCGCAGACGCATCTAGACCAAACTATGCTCTGTACGTTAGATGTGTCTGAGGCCTTAGAAGACTTAGAAGGCGAGTGGTCAAACAAGGACCCTTGCGAGTCTTGGGTGGCGCTAACGAAGGGTCCTAGAGGGGAACATTTCGTGGTGGAAGTGGATGTAGGAGGCCGCAAATGTGGTGCCTTCATAGACATCGAATCCACACGGAATTATATAAGTTGCGACTGTTTGGAAAGGCTGCACCTACAGGACCAGGTACGACACCTTAGTAGACCAATAGCATCTTCTTTGGCAAACAAGGAGCGCATGATAGTGACAGACTATATCAAGGACGTAGTTTGTACCTTCTCCTATGGAGGAGGTGAGCTTAACCATAATATCTCGTTCTTGGTTAGCGACGACTTGCCATTCGGTATGCTGTTAGGCATGTACTACCTCGAAGTTGCTAAGACCCAGTTCGACTGGGATAAGAAGGTGCTCAAACACAAGTTGCCCGATGGCCGAACTGTCAGATTGACCAAGTTCTATTATAGATATCTATGGCTGCTTGTGCGCATCCGCATTTTACAACTATTACAAGCAAAACGAAGAGGAAGGTATGTACCTTGTTTATGTCTATGAGAAGGGGGAGGCCGTTAAAACACCCCTAGAGATAGAACGCGTCGTTGCTAAGTTTCCTGATCTGTTTGAAGAGCCCTCAGGAGTTGTTTATAAGGAAGTCGTCCACGCTATAGAAATCATTCCAGGGAGTAAGACCCCAAAGGGAAGGATCTATAGGATGGCCCCTGCCGAGTTAGATGAACTTCGGAAGCAACTAAAGGAGCTGAAAGAGAAGGGATGGATTCGGCCTAGTACTTCCCCTTACGGATCTCCCGTACTATTCGAACCGAAGAAGGGGGGTACTTTGAGGATGTGCATTGATTATAGGGGCCTCAATGCCATCACTGTGAAAAACGCAGAGCCTCTACCTCGCATAGACGACCTATTGGATAGGGTGTAGGGGTGCAAGTACTATACAAAGATAGATTTCAAATTCGGATATCACCAGATCGCCATAAGACCTGAGGACCAACACAAGACAACTTTTCAGACTCGTTATGATCTGTATGAGTTTGTAGTGATGCCTTTTGGTCTTTGTAATGCGCCGGGTACATTCCAGCACGCTATGAATCGGATCTTCCATGACCGTTTATATAAGTTTGTCGGTGGTCTACTTAGACGACATTCTGATCTTTAGTAAGTCTGTCGAGGAGCACACAAAGCACGTTGAGACAGTTCTCTCACTCTTACGACAGCACAAGTATAAGGTAAACTTAGAGAAGTGTGAATTCGGTCGCACTAAGATACTATACTTGCGTCATGAAGTATCCGCGAAGGGAATTAGGCCGGAAGATGCGAAGGTGGCTAGTATTCGAGACTGGCCACGACCTCAGACAGTTACCGAGGTCAGGTCATTCTTAGGAATGTGCGGCTACTATAGAAACTTCGTTAAGAACTATTCTACAGTCGCCTCTCCTTTGACTGATCTACTTGACTTGACACGCCGTGGGACTGGAGTGATGAGTGTGAGGGTGCTTTCAAGAGATTGAAGCATGCACTCATGAATCATGAAGTTCTCATGGTTCCCGATCCGCAGAAGCCATTCATATTGACCACTGACGCAAGCCAATACGACATTGGCGCAGTGCTGGCTCAGCAGGATGGGAAAAAGTTGAGACCGATTGAGTACATGAGTAAGAAGATGCCATTCGAAGAAGTTGGCTAAGTCCACCTACGAAAGGGAATTCTATGCTCTCTACAAGGCACTTGTCCATTGAGACATTTCCTTTTGGGAAGGTTCTTCTATCTGAGGACTGATCATCAGACCCTCAAATGGATCAAGACTCAACAGGCTCTTTCTGATGCACTCAAGCGATGGATTGAGGTCATAGACCAATATGACTTCAAGCTCGAGTACCTGAAGGGAGAGTACAACAAGGTTGCGGACGCGCTATCCCGTAGAACAGACTACCTAGGTGCGCTAGTTTCTGAATTTGGCGTATCTAATGAAGTAAATCAATCATTGGTGGGAGCCTATCAGGAAGACCCTGTCATGATGGACATCATCTGCAAACTTCAGGCAAAAGACAAGGCCACAGAAAGTGAGTTTGTGATGGTGGACGGGCTAATCTATCTTGATAAGGCACAAAGAGATTGGTAGTTCCATCTAGTGAACAGTTGCGTAGTTTATTTTTAGGCGAATGTCATGACGCAACTGGGCACTTTGGCTACAAGAAGACGAGTGCTAACTTAGTACAACGATTTTGGTGGCCCAGAATGCTAGATGACGCAAAGAAGTATGTTGAGACCTGTCAGGTCTGTCAGTGGGACAAGCTGCGAACTCAAGTAGCGCTTGGGTTATTGAAGCCTTTACCTATTCCGGATGGTCCAAGATTGAGTGTTTCCATGGATTTCATAGACACCCTAGTGACCAGCAAGAGTGGTAAGAGGCACATTTTCGTCATTATCGACCGAACTAAGTTCGCTAGACTGGTACCAATGCCAGAGACAGCCAGGACAGAATACGTCATGAAGTTGTCAAGGACAACTGGGTAAGGGACTTTGGTTTACCAAAGACCATCATTAGTGACCGAGACGTCCGATTCACAAGTGAGCTGTGGAAGAAGACTGCGGAACAAATGGGCAGTCAACTTCAGATGACTTCAGGGAATCAGCCCGAAGCCAACGGACAGGCCAAACAAATGAATAGAGTTGTACAGCACTTGCTGAGGCATTACATCAAGCCCAGCCAGGATGATTGGGATGAGCAGTTACCTCTCATCGCCAGCCTGTACAACAACGCTATACATAGCAGTACCGGCGTTAGTCCTAACCAGCTGCACTTAGGATGGAAGCCTAGAGTCCTAACCAGCTGCACTTAGGATGGAAGCCTAGATCAGCACTGGACTTCCTCATACCTGAAAACGGACCTGCTGCAACTCCAGGCACACTTGAATACGGTGTGCAATATGAGAAGTTGCTGCAAGAGGCTGTTGAACATATGAAGAAGGCTCAGCAAGCCATGATTGCTTCTGAGAATCAACATCGTAGACAGTCCACATTTCAGGTAGGGGAACGTGTCTGGGTCAAGGCTATGAGTTAGGACAGGAGTTCGGAATATCTCGCAAACTAATGCCTTAGTACTTTGGTCCCTGGGAAGTCTTGGATGTAGTGGGAGATGAGTTGGATGGTCCCACATATGTCATTCGTGTCCTTGGACACCTACGCACTCACCCAGACTTTCATGCCTCAAAGCTTGCACCTTTCGCTGAGACTGATCAATTCCCTTCCAGGAGATCAATGCTGCCCCCAACCATGGATGGACAAGTGGACATCGACGACATTGTGGATCACAGGGACATGCCTGTTGCAAAGCCGTTGGGTCGAGGAAGACCTCCTAAACCCAAGAGAGAATATCGCGTCAGATTCAGGCCTCACACGGATCCCAAAGAAGATCGGTGGTTCACCAGGGAGGAACTGATTGAGACAGCTCCTCAGGTGGTGGCAGAATACGAAAGGAAGCTGAAAGGGAAGGCACCTGCGAAGTAAGCATCTCAGCGGACTTTCGAAGCTAAGGGGGATGGAGTGTGAGGAACTAGCCCTCAAGTAGGGGCCTTGCCATGATGTACATGTTCTGGGCTAAGGCCCCAGCAAGCCTCGTGCCCGCCCTAAGTGAAGGCGGGCCAGCAAATCAACAAGAACCCTCAGTGCAGACATTTCACGAAGTGGGGTCCATACAGTTGCAGCATGCCAGGCGGTTGGAGTGCACGAGTCTTGAATCTCTGCAAATGCGAAGACCCCAGGGCCTTTGAGTTAGTTAGGCCCTGGGCATCTGAATGTGAGGCCGACAATGCATGCTGGGTAGAGAGGCCGAAAATGCCAAAGGAAAATCGGCCCACTGTCTGAASYTGKCCGCAGGCCTTGATGAAAGAGGCGCAACTGCATTGCCCCGGGCCTCAACTGTATCGGGCTGGTTTCAGCCACTGAGGCCCAGACGCAGGCTGAAGGGAGGCCGCCCACACGCAGCACTGGCATATAGGCAAGCAGGGCGAGTGGGCAGGCATCTTGGCCAATGCAGGCATTGCGGGCACGCTGCGGGAGTGCATGTGTGCTGCGCTAGGGTCAAGCAGGCAAGCGCTAGGCGGTAGGGCGCTGCCTGCACTCAGGGCACTGGCGGCCATAGCCTGGGCCGCATGAGGGTGCAGAAGAGGTGAAGGGCGAAGGTGGTCTTCGGAGGTGAAGGGCGCTGTGTGGGGTGTGGGGAAGAGGACACGTACCTGGTGGAGGTGGAAGTCGGCATTGGTGTTGACATCATCACTCGCTGGTAGTCAAGTTGTCTGGTTGCT